TTTTGAAGAACAAATAAGATGTATATTTGTTTTGTTACTATCTTGCATTGACTCATGAATGAATTATTTTATTTATTTTTTTCAACGCCACTTTCTAACACTTATGAAATGAATTCAATGGCTAAAATATTGATCATTTATTTGCAAAATATATATACAATTTTACAATTAACTGAAGATGTGGGTGGGTGGGTGCTGGTCTGAGTTTGGATATGAGGATATTTTGATCACCGACACCTACACCCAACATAAATAATCTTCTTTTTTGCTGTACGAAAAATAAAAGATGTTTAAAACCAGCATGCTGTGTATACAACTTTGAAGTTTTAAATATTTTGCTTATCTTCACTCTTACATGAATTCACAAGTGACAAATGCTTGTTTTTCTTGGAATATAATTAATTGATTTAAGACAGGATGCTGATAGAAAATTAGAAAAAAATTGTATTTAATAAAGTGCCTTTTTTTTCTTTTGCAAATTCATTAAACAATAGTTATTTCTTTCTTACGAATAACAAAAGACATCACTCGATTTTGTTTTAGATGTAATAAAAACGATTGTCATATTGAATTCAAACATAGAAATACCAATTAAAAGCTATATAATACAAAATATTAATGAATATTATTCATCGATTATAATAAATACCATGGTAAGAGCAATATTTCAAAACTTTGTAGCATTTTAAGTGTTTGTTGTTGAATAAATAAACTAATACTAAAAAATTTAATTGATAAAAATATAAGGAAAATTTCGTAGTTGAAAAATACGAGTGAGCGGATACGAACGTCAAATCCATACTAAATTCACACCCACACCCTTAAGTTACATACAAAATTAAATCTTTCACTCATGAATCCCTTCAGTCTTGTATATCATCTTATTAATGACATGCAAATAACAAAAGAAAAATCCATTAGCACTAGAAAGATTAATCAACAAGCCTTATTTCATTGCACCTAAATGAATTTATTTATTTTACACTTTCAGTCTACATATTACGTTTAATAGAATCTTTATCTGAATCCATTAATCTTTCAAAACTCGAAAACAAAATTTCTATAATATGTCTATTCATTAGAAAATACTACAAAAATTAATTTAAATTTAGTTTTACACTTTTTTTTCTTTTTAAATTGTTCTAATAATTTATTCTTTACAATAAAATATTCGAAACTAGAATAAAACTTTTCTTATAATTTCAATTTATTTTTTTATGAGATAACCATGGTAACGCTATCTGTTTCATTTTAGTCTACATTAACTTTATGTTTCTATCATTTTTTCAAGAGTTTTTTTAAAAAACTTTACATCGCAACAGTAAGACAATGATGAAAGTAATGAATAAAGAATAATCAAAGAGAAGGAAAAAAATTTATTGAATTGAATTCATATGAAATGGGCTATAAGGATTGTTATATATCTCTGTATCATGTGTTCTTCAACGATGAAAATATGACGCCGTTTTCGATTAAATAAATCGCAGTTTATCATACTATGAATATCTGTTGATCAATAATTATAAAATCAAATGGCCTAGCTGAGAATCTGATTGATCGAAGAAAAGTAAAAACTACGATCACAGCGTCCACTGAGGTGCAATCATAATAAAAATAGTGACACGGAATATTTCTACCTGATAGATGATAGTAAAATAAATATTACTGATGTTCCAGATATGCGATTGTTTGTATTAAAATATAATAGCTATTGAAAAAAGTATGAAGAAAAAACACTTGTATATAAAATGTTTTAGTGTGTCTAATATAAATTACATCTCTGTTTTTTTTGTGTAACAAAAATAGAAAATATGCATTACTCTTCTCTTTAAACATATTCTCAAACCTTTTTTATCGAGTTAAGTTGGTATGATACATCTCTGCATTTTATAAGTTGATATAAATACGAGAGAAATTTTTTATAATTGATTCATTTTACGACATGTTCTCCACGATAATAATTATTTTTCTTGTTTCCCATACAATATTATCAACGACAACGCCTGTTACAGTATACAATAATGCCTATTTTTATCCAACTGATACTCACTATTTACTGAGTAATCTCTCGTCAATAAGTTCCGTAAACGACTGTCTTTGCCAATGCTATAATAATACGATTTGTTTCACGGCTAATTACTTCGGTACTACTCATCAATGTATACTATACTTTGCACAATTAAATCAGGGACAATTACGAGTGGCAACGGCTGCTATTGATGCAAGTGTTTACTCTGTCGAAAACAATACAAGTGAGTAAGAAATACATTTGATATAATTCAACTGATTTACAACAGATCTTTTCTTTGCAGTAATAATCAGACAAATTCTTTAATATAAAATTTCCTTTTTCTTTTAACAGTATGAAAGTAATTGTGCTGGTTTTCTTATAACATAAGTGAAGTATACTGAGAGAAAGTATTTTGAAATATAAATTTATATTTGTTAAATAGAATGCCAGTTAGTGATTATTCTCTTCTCAGACTTTTTATTTTTGTTTTTCAACCATTGATTTATCATTCTCTAAATAAATTATTCGTGTTCATCCTTCAGTTAAATAAAATTTGATTTTTTCATTTATAATATATCTATAAAAAACGTTGAATTTTCTTTGATCATACTAGCCGTGTCATTTTTTAAACGAACAAATGAAACTGTATATAATATATGGAATACAACTGCAGGTGGTAGTAGTATATATGCAGTGTCTGGCTATTATTCTGGTAACTATTATCCAACTGGACCAGCACAAGTCGCATTTGATGGGAATCTTACTTCGAGAGCTTGTAATTATGGAGCATGCAATTACAGTTTTGGAGCACTGGCATGTGGAGAAAAAACTGGTTTCTATCTAACAATGAATGGTGGGCCAAAAGTTCTTGTAGCATTCTATATGAGTTCAGGCTTTGAGCCAACGAGTCGAGTGCGTGATCCTATGACGATTACTATTGAGGGCAGCAATTTAAATGGATCGACTCTTATACTTGGCTCCAGCTGGACTTTAATATACAATGGTTCTGCAGGATTCATAATAAATCCTGGACGAGCAGCTTGGGGTACATTGCAATTGATTCCAAATCCTTTAACTGCGTTCGCAAGCTATCGTCTGCTTGTCACTTCAAAACAAGGGTCTGACACTTGTTCATCATATGGTGAAGTTTTATTCGCTGTACGCTGATAGCAATACAATTTACAGTATCTTGATATGTTCAAAATAAATACAAGAAAAATATTACTTAATCCTTTTGAAACGATTGGTTTTTCCTAGACAACAACTTTAAAGCGTTCATGTTCATGTGTATTCATCCTCGGTACATACATAAGTAAATCTGTTCAATATGTCTAGATATTTCTTTTTCTTTTTTATTGTTTGTATCACTATATAGACAGTTCTTTTCAATATCGAAATAAATAATTATTCACATCTATCTTCTTTTTCTTGTATGTATTACGCAGCCAGAATGAAGTTTGCTAATTGACATATCATCTGAATCAATGGGCACAGAAAACGATGTAAACTTACTCAATAATATCAATTCTTTAGATGGTGATTTTGCTAGAATAAAATTCTGACGCTTCGAGAAAGTTACTAATACTAACTTCTATCTCAGAAGATAATATAATTCATCCTTTTAACTGCTGTCAACATTTCATTACTGACGAAGATTATAAGCGTTATGTTTTGTGAAGCTAGATGATATACAAAACAACACTTAGAAATCTAAGTGCTAAGCAGGCGAGGTTGTGAATGATTCACTTAGCATGTCCACTCACACCTCTATAGAAGATAGATTCATCATAATTCAGTATTATTTTTGTTTAGAATGAATTAGAAAATTTTTTAAGCATATACTCTTCCCAAGAATGAAAAGAAGTGTTTTTTAAAATTTATTCAATTCAGTTGCTGCCATCTTTCTATGTACTTGATGATAAAGGCATCAAAACTGCATCGATGATATGAATGATACCGTTGCTGGCCAAAATTTCAGATGCAATAACTGTAGCATTATTGATTTTGACTTGATTACCCTGTTTCGTTACTGTAATAAAACCACCTGCTAGTGTTTCTAAACGTGTTGATATATTCATTCCCATTAGGTTGGCTAATGTTAAGACCCTGTCACCGATGGCATGATATAAGAGAACTGCAGCGAGTTCATTCTTATTCCGAGGATCTGATAGATGTTGAACAATTTCTGGCGATACTTTAGAAAAAGCTGTATCAGTTGGAGCAAATACAGTAAGTGAACCAGCTTGCTGACTTGATTCATCTAGGCCAGCAGCTTTTAACGCCGTTGCTAAAGTTGTTAGTCGATCATCTGTACTTATGATTTGCCAAATATTGGGACGTTGACCTATACACCATAAAATAAAAAATTATTAAATCATGATCCATCAAATATAAATACGAAAAGAAAATGATATTACCTAGGACAGTAACTGTGAAATGTAGAAGAGTTACTAATAGGACCAATATCGTTTTTGAGTTCATTATTTGCTGATTTGATATGACTGCTTTTAATATGATAAATAAAACTTGATATTTGAATACATTAACTACGCACTAACATATATGCAAATAGAAAGAGATATTTATCAGTTAACCATATATACGTTTTCTTTTGACATTAATCCGACGGTAGCTTCTAGGGATTAAACTATAAAGAGCAAAATATCAAGCAAATATTTGCGACACAATAAAAAAACTAGATCAAAGTGTGAGTGTGCTTAATCAGGTCAGTTGCAATATAAGTTAAAAATTGATTGACAATCCGTACTCAATAGTCCAATTGATCGTTTCAGTAAATGGAATATACTATATTGTTTGAGTATGAATTTTTTCCTGCACCATCGTGTACATAAAAGAAATGTTAGACAAGAAAATACGTATGAGTAAACATCTGAATCCTTCTGATTTGTACGTAAATCAGAGATGTCCATCGCGGTTGACAATCTGCCGCTGCCGCACCGCGCCCAGACAGACAAAACTCAAGAAAAAACGGAGAAATGCGACGTAGAAATTTTGAAATTTTAACGAAAATAAAATCGAGAAAAGCGCACATTTTTACGATTTTTATCTCCGTTAGCTTTGTCTACTGTGATTAACGCGTCGATAATCTGTGCTTAAAACGTTAAAACTCACAAAATAACGTATAAAACCACGTTGAATTCCTCGTTTCAACGAGTAACTACGGAGTAGATTTTAACGCAGTAGAACGCTTTCCAAAAAATTGCGTAGAAACGCGTTTTTAGGCGTTTTTTTTAGAAGCCTTGTCTGTCTGGGCGATGAGACTTTCAAAAATCTTCTGATTCTCAACGCTGATAGTGGTTTAAACGAGAGCTGTTACTGCTAATCGATGAGATTCGTCTAGTTTTACAATGCAGAATACGTCAATGTCGAGATTATGTGAAAACTTCGTGATTTTTTAGAACTGTTTCCTGAAGAAACTGCCGCTACCGCACCGCTGCCGCGACAGTATGATAAAAGTTGCTGCCGCACCGCTACCGCGCCGCCATGGACATCTCTGACGTAAATCAAAGTGGAACGACTCGTTCATTTTGGGGATTCTTTTAAATTTTGTTATCAGCACACTTTGTATCTACAGCGATCGTCATTTATTTTTGTTCTGTTCTGTCATATGACGTATATACATTACATGCGTCACTCAAAACATTCTACCATATTTTGATTTCTTTACAAGTATCCTCCTCTACACATTGTATTTTCTACGATTTATTTCAGTTGGTCGTGTATTATGACTTATTTTCTGATGGACTAAAATCGGATTGGTTGCGTATATGAATAACGTTTTCGTGATAATCAAGTTCATTCATACAAAAGAAGAAATATTTATTATATATAATCGTGAGTCATGATGCCGTATTTCATTTCTTTTTGCTTGCTTATAGATTGCGCAAGATTTTTATGATAAAACAGCGAACGTAAAAGTGCGTCCTGTTGCAGTTCTGTATGTGTTTGGAATATTTAATATCAATTCAGTATATTTAACACAAAGTATAATGGCACACGGTATTTCTGATCCAAAGAATAAAAAGGAGCATTTCGATACAGCGACTCATCTCGAGAAGAAACTGGATCAATTAGCGCAATGGATCAAAGAGAGTCGACATTTTATTGTATTCACAGGTATTTTAGCATGTCATGTAGTCTTATTTAAATCCTCATCGATTTTCATCATTTATTTAGGAGCGGGTGTATCTACTTCGACTGGTATTCCTGATTTTCGCAGTGGAATGGACACTGTGTTACCAACTGGGCCAGGAGCATGGGAATTAGAAGAGTGAGTGTGAATTTTATTATAAGAATAATCAAAAATCTGAATAATTCTAGTCATAAAGCTAAACGAGCGAAAACGACGACTGTTATTGATGACGTACAAAAGGCGATTCCATCTCCTACTCATATGTGAGTCATATCGATGATTTTCACTTTTCCTCAAATATATCGTTTTTTCTTTTGTAGGGCACTTGTTGCTTTACAACGTCAAGGTATTCTCAAATGTATTATCTCACAAAATTGTGATGGTCTTCATTTACGAAGTGGTGTTAATTCGAATAATCTCGCTGAATTACATGGCAATATGAATTTAGAGAAATGTCCGAAATGCGGTGCGAAATATTTACGTGATTACGATACGGAAGGTAATCGAAAACATTACACAGGTCGTCGATGTGATAAGCCGAATTGTCGTGGTCGATTGAAAGATTCGATTATTAATTTCGGTGAAGATTTACCTGAAGACGAACTAAACAAAGCACTTGATCATGCAGGAAAAGCTGATCTTTGTCTTGTGCTAGGTAGAGTAGATTGTCAAAGATTTTTGTTTAGCTTATACATAATCATTTTTTTCTCGCAGGTAGTAGCTTGACTGTAACACCAGCTACTGATATTCCGGAACGTGTAGTAGAAAATAAACAAAAATTGGTTATTGGCAATCTACAACGAACACCTTTCCATAAAAACGCTACACTAAATATTCATGCATTTAGTGATGTTATTATGCAGGGTGTGATGCAACGATTAAATATTCCAATTCCACCATGGATTCTTCGACGACGAGTACATATCACTTGTTCACAGGATTTAAATAATGAAACTCAAAAGCGAATTCTCATTGAAGGTCGTGATCCAAATGATACAGATATTCCTTTTACATTACTTGACAATATCGAGATAATTGTAAATCAAAAGGTTATTCAACAACTCATTCATCAACCGTTTGCATATGATCTTGGCGACTTTGATCAACAATCGATCACTATTCGTCTACATTTCTTTGGACATTACAATGAAATTCCCTTTGATTTAATTTATGCGAATTTAAGTAATATTTCAAATAATGAACAATTCTATTTATTATATAATCCGATGGAAGGACAATGGAGAAAAGTCACTGGTAGTGATGATTTGCCTCTTTGAATATGTCTATATTCTGAGTTATAAATGAAATTTTGTTTTGTTTTATCTTTTAAATAATAAATTGTAGCAATAAATATGTGATAGTCACACAGTTTTAACAAAAAACAATTTCGATGACCAATGAATTATGAAATTTAAAATTTGATTCAAACTAAGAAATATATCAATGGAATTCCTTACTCTTTATTTTAATTAAACAATATAAAAAAGATGATTGACACTCATGATAACATATTTCTTTGGTGAATTTATCGATCTAGTCATTTAATATATTTGAAGAAATGGAATTCATATTTTGGTATAAATTTATAAGCATAATTAAAAGGAAGGTTTTTTCGAATGGATCAATTCTTCTAACTTTTTGATCGTTTGATCAGCAGTGGCTAATTTCCTTCAAAATCTATTTTAGAAATAATCTGTCATCTATATCGTTAAATCAATCTATTTTGAGACATGGGTGTTCGGCTTGATGAGAAATAAAAAACACGAATACCCACACCCACATTCACTTTAGAGGTCATGTAGGTTATTTATATCAGAGTTAAGAACCTAAGTGAAAGTGCTAGAAATAAAAGGCTAGTTTAGATCGAGTCAGTAGCCTGAAGGTATTCATCTATCAATTATGACCATTTTTAGCAGGCTAAATAGAGGGAAAAGACATAAGAATTTGTAAAAAAAAAAAATGTATGATTATAGTAGAAATACGAATGAAAAGATATGGAAGAATTATTAGTTCT